GGACATTGCTGTGATGGGCTAATCCCATGAACTGCAGCACGTGTGTTAGGCGGACATTTATGTGCAGCTCTTAGCATTGTTCATTTTACTTCCTCATCTTGCAAAGCCAAGTAAGTCACTGTGTCCCCTTGCCACCATTCGGGTGTTTTTCCCTCTGGACTTCTGGTTTTAGGGTGTGCATGTAGGTGGGTAATAATCTAGCTGTCCTCTCATGGCGGCCTTGTTTGCCTCATACAAGGTTTCTGTCAGGGTCTCAGCCCATGTGTAAGCTGAGCAGTACCCAGCTGTCTGTGTGACCCCCTTGTTCACTGGCTCATCGGTGGGTGGCCTTGGGCTTCTGTAAACTGCTGGGAGCCTGAGCCTCTGAACGCGGTGTGTTAAGAGTCTCGTGGACAGCCTGCTCTGCACGCTTTGGGATGTGCATCTCATCTGCAAGGGCATTGCTGCGCCCTCTGATAACTCTTCTTGTGATCGGTACTTACAGGGCTGCTCTTTGTACTGGCAGCACCATTGCCCACCCTGCACACAGGGTTCCAGTTGCGTCACGTCCTTGCCAGGCCTGTGATTTCTTTGTTAGTGCCCATCCCACTGATTTAAGGTCTTAGGACACTGAATTGCACTGAGGCATCAGATAGGCAGTCTTTTCAAACAGTATTCCAAAACAGCATTTTTCACAATGCTTTTTCAGGTGCTTCAGTTTTAGCATTTTGCTGAAGTGTTAGCATCCTCCATTAACTTAACCTGTATTGGGGTTTTCTAAAAGCAAACAGTAGGTTTTCTCCGTGTTTTGATATCACAGTCCACCAGTGTGCCATCCTCACACATCCTGAGGCATGGCACCCACACCTGCCATCCCTTGCCTTGGGTGTGTCGCAGCCCTGGCTGGCCTGGACTGTGCAGTCAGCCCTCATCTGAGTCCTTTGGATAGAGATTTAATACATTGCATTTGTATTCTTACACATCAGCCTTAGTAAAGATAGGATTTTGGAATAATTGTTTTAATAGTATTTAACTTGTAAAAGTGCTTGCGGAGAAGGAAATGAGGAATGACATTCTCTGACCCTCTCAACGTGTGCCGGGCGATGGTGACGCGTGCACTCAGGAGGCAGAGACAGGCAGATCTCTAAGTTGGAGCCTCATCTACAAAGCTAGTTTCAGGACATCCAGCTGTTACACACAGAGAAATTCTGTCTCAACCCTGCCCTGTCTGTCATTCCCCCCCCCCCCCCACAAAAAAAATTGAACCTGCTAAGATTTATGTCTGTGTTAGCTGGACTTTCAGGAAAAACAGGATTCTGGTAACTAGAACAATAGACTCCATATCTGTCTTTTGCTGCAGCCTAGCCCCTGATCTCTGAGAAGCTCTCAACATCCTCACTGTTTGTAGCTGCTTAGTCTCAAGGCTAAGCCAGGAATGGGGCCTGTGCTTTCAACATCAGGAAGAGGGAGCAGAGGAACTGGGTTGGAGAGCAGTCTGCGCTGCACGGACATAAGCCCAGGGTGGGGATGCAGCTCAGTGACAGCGTGAACAGCCCTGGGCTTTGACCTAACAGAGCAGAAACAGTGTGCTCTGGAGGTATTTGTAGGACTGAGGGATTCGTCCTGTTTGGGGTGCCCTTTTTATTGATGTAAAAGCTGACTGGTTTCTTGGTGATCAGTTGTCTTGACCAGAGCTGGTACTGAAATGCAGCTGATCTCACCAGACACAGGCTGATGGAACTAACAGGAGCCTCGCTTCTGTCATAATGCTTGGCATTTGGTCCTAGTCACAGCTTTGAACAGGAAATGGATTCTGGGCACACAGGGAGTGTCAAACATCAGAGTTGGTACAGTCCTTCGTTAAGCTCTGGAGGTGGACAGCGCTGTAGATGGCTCAGGCATGGAGACTGCAGATGGGGTGCAGCTTATCCGGGGCCGGCGCTGCAGGATGGAGAACCAGTTGAAGGAGGGAGGCTCGTAGAGCAGGCTACTTCTGTGAAAACCCTGCTCCCTGCAGGGGTCCCCTTGGGGTCCTTTGTTTGGTGTATACAGTTATTGGGGGTCTTTGCTTCTCCAAGGAGCTCAGGAATTGCTTTCACGAGTCCATGTGGTAGCGGGTTAGGTGGTGACGGACGCACCTACTGTACAGCTTCCTGCGACATCACTGTTGGAGACGGAGGGGCAGTGTGCGTTCACGCTTGCCCTGCTCTAAGGCTGCTGCACGTATGCCCAGTGGGCACTGTAGAGAACTTCCTGACATAGAAAACTTTGTTTGAAACACTAGACCCTGGTGTGTCAGACAAAAAACCATGAAGACCCAGATCACCTGACCAGTGAGTGTACTGAGTTTTAATTTGCATTTTAAGAATACAATGAAATGTCTTTTAGTGAAGTCACTCCAGAGTCTGTCACCACAGTCCAGTTTGCAGCCCAGAGGGTTTTTTGTGGCCATGAGCATTCACTCCGTCCTACTCCAAGCCACTTTCTGTCAATGGACTTGCCTTCCCTGGACATTCTTAGGATGAAGCCACATTGTGTGGACTTTCCTCTGTTTCTTTAAATGGGCACAATGTGGCAGCCTTTGGGACTTTCCTTGGCTATGTTCCTAGGTGCTCTCGAGCTTGCTGACGTATCTGCCGAGTTGCCAGGACTGAAGTGGATGCCTGGAGTCTCCGAGTGGAAGGTAATTCTGCAATGAGGGCTTTAGTCAAAGATTTAAGAGCTATAGACATTGGAAAACATTCATGTTTGAGTATTGTGAATCAATGCATTGCCTGGTTGTATAGTATAGAATTCACTCACAGATTCTATTTAAAGACAAATACTATATTCCTCATATAGAACCTGTCTTTGCTCTCATGCCCATAGATTAAAACCTTGCTACCTTTTTAAGTGTGTGTGTGTGTGGGGGGGTGGCAATTTAATCTTGCTTTTATAAAAAAACAACAGTTCTTTGACTTTCCTGCTCTGTCTGAGATTTTTTTCTGTTTAATAAATAAATAACCTGGTCTGGGGCTTTGATGCTGTCCATCCTGGACTTTGAGGTGAAGGAATTTTGGTATTTTTAAAAGATGTTATGTAAGTTATTTGCCATGAGTGTTTTAGCTTTACCTTTGGAGATAGTCTTTCTGTGGAGAGACTATTTACCCCCTGTGCTCTGTGTGATCTCACACCTTTCCCTGTGTACTTCACTGTAGTAATGCTGCTGGTCTCTGCAGGTCATGACTAGAGATGGGCAGTGGTTTGCAGGCTGGGATGAGGTTCCCCAGGGCAGGCACACACAAGTTCGACCTACTATGTTCCCACCAAAAGACCTGGAGAAACTGCAAGCAATGCACCTAGAGCGGTGGTGAGTGGTGGCACTGGGCCTTCGGGATGGGGAGGTGGTCTGTCGAGGAGCCTGGTACCCACTGGGTGCAACTGGCAGTGTTTGCAGTCTTAGAACTGGTTAGAATCTCAGAGAGCTTTGGAAACTGCATGAGCTTTTCATTGTTAATTCATTAGTGTGGAGTAATTGTCCAGAGCAATGGCTTCATTATGATAGCTTCATGGATGCATGCCGTGTACCTTGATCATCACATCCATTCCTCCCTTCCTGTGTCTTCCCCTGTTCCCCTCCACGGACTTTTCAAAGACAGTGTGAATGAGCTCTCCTGTAAGTGGGGCTGAGCGTTTGCAGTTAGGGAAGATCCAATCATTTGCCTGACATTTTATATATATACTGTTTTAGCCTTCGAATACTACCACATCATCAGAATACTGGAGGGTTCTTTGTGGCAGTATTGGTCAAAAAAGCATCAATGCCATGGAATAAACGTCAGCCAAAGGTAAGGGCTTTTAAATCCAAAACCATCTAGCAGAGCATTTGACTTTACCACTGTTCCTGTAAGAGTTAGTTCATTTGAAATGCAGAGCAAAGTGGAGATTTCGAGAGGTGAGGATGCTTAGAGAGGCTATGCCTAAAGGAAGGAGGATTCATCTGAATTTCAGATTTTTCCAGAAAGCAGGTACTTCTCACAGAGATGGTGAGAAAGGCCATTTGGGTAGTGCATTCTGTCTCCGTCTTAAAGTTCAGCTACTCAGCAGCAGTTGAAATGATGTAAGATTGAGGGTGGGCAGGACTAAGGGCTGTGAGTCCAGAGTCCTCCGACATTCATTGTCCCACACCATGGGGCTTCCTTCTGCCCCTGTAATATGCTGGCCTGTATGTGAGTGAGGAAGTGTCGTTCCCTCATCTTTGTTAGCCCAGCCACTGTTTATGACTCATAAATCAGACTTGTGGTAAAAGACTGTGGCCTGGAGTTGTGCAAACCTCTGTTTCTTCAAATCATCTTGAATTAGGACTAACACTGCTCAGCTTTGGAAAAACAAAAGGAACTGTTTTCTCAAGGATTGCAGCCTGCTCTGACCACAGTTAAAGATGGCCCAGGGTAACTGTTTGAGATCCAGCTGACGAAGGCAGAGACACTGCTTCTCGGTGTTTACCATGAATTGTGTAGGCCAGGAAGGTCCTTACTTTGAGACTGTGGGCCTGACTCCGGGCGCTGGGGTAAAGCTTCGAGCTGTACTCTCTCCTTTTAGAGGTGGGATGCTGACCATGACAGTCTTCTTTCTCCAGAACTGTGCTTATCAAGAAGAAGTAGAATTTACATTGGCTATTGCATTTTACTCACACCAGTGTGTTTAAAAGTTGTTTCCAGGTAGTCAGTTGAGGTTTGGTGTCAGGATGCCTTGTGTTTGCCTACAGTGTTTTAACAGTGGCGTGCATTTAGTTAGCAATTTGAAGCTGGTATTGACTGGAGTCCTCTCCCGGTCTAGCACATGCTCTTCCTGTCCTGTGTGCCCTGTACCCATAGCTGGTGCTCTGAGCTGAGTGTGCTGTCCATCCCCGGCACTGACGGGCCGTCTTGCTTTCACAGTCCATTGTGGTGTTTGCAGGATTCCGTGTCAGAATGTCTCTCACTGCTGCTTTCTGTGTCTCCCTAAATTTGGGTGTGTGGCCTGCCCTCTGTGAGTGAGCAGTGTGCACTGCGGAGGTGCCCTCCTCCTGGGGTAGTTAGTGTCTTACTAGTCAGTCATGGGGAGCAGACACTATGCTATGTGTGGACAGCGGGCTGTTTGAGGTGTCTCTCTCTTTTTTTTTTTAACTTTATTTAACTTTATTTCATGCACATTGGTATAATGATGTCAGATTCTCTTGAACTGGAGCTACAGACAGCTGCGAGCTGCCATGTGGGTGCTGGGAATTGAACCTGAGTCCTCTGAGGAGCAGTCAGTGCTCTTAACCACTGAACCATCTCACCAGCCCCTTGAGATGTCTCTTGAGACTGTTACTGAGACTTTGATTTGGCCCTTAACACCTTGGTGACCCAGGGAAAATCCGGAATGTGCCTTCACTGAAGCGTCCTAATTTGTAATGTGATTGTGGAACTGAAAGGTTCACTCTCACAGATCTTCTAATGTAGAAAGGACACAGAGCTTTGTAGATTGTTTGGTGTTTGATGTTGTCAGTGGTTGAGCCCTGGGCAGTGTGCATGTTGGACAAGTGTGCTCAAATCCCAAGAGCTTCAACATGTGGCTGAAACCTTTAGTTTTATTCCAAGCCAGTTGTGTGTCGTGGTTGCCCCAGTTCCTGGTGCCCGGGAAGAGTGCGGTCCCCACGGTCCTCTTTTGGTTAAGTTTCATCAGTTACATGCCTGTGCCTTATCCAGAGCAGACACTGGGTTGCTGAGTAAGAACAGCCTGGCTGTGCTGGCCTCTACTAAGGCCAGCCTGTGGGGCCACCAGAGAGTCGGCTTTGAGTGAACAGTGCCTGCACATTCCATTTGTAAGAGCAAATTCTAAAAGGGATATGTTTTAAGAAGAAAATTTTGCTGTCTTCCAATGACATAGAAAAATACAACTGGTTGATGTGGTGAACATGATAGTTTTAATTTTCTTGCAGTGGTGAAGTATGTTGCTTTATTATGAAAATGAACTTGTTCCCTTCAACAGGTACAGAGTAAATCTTCAGATCCCAGGAAGACCACAGCATCCAGTTCTGTGGCTGCCACAGAGCGGAATCCTGGAGACCGCTCTGAGCTGGGCGGTGACTCAGAAGTAACACAGTGCACTGAGAACACAGAGAGTAATGAAAAGAAAGATGGCGTGTGTGGGTGAGGAGAACTACACTGGGTGTGTAAGCCAAATGGGATCCCAGAGCCTTAGCCATGGCGATTTCCAGGGAGTCAGGACACAGCACGGCATCTGTGGTAGACTCTGCAGCTTGGAGAACACCCACAGCTGCTTCCAGTGTTGGCTGGGGCAGGATGGGTGCCCTGGACTGAGCGCCTGCCGTGCTTCTTGCTCACTGCCTTTCCGCCCCTCATTCCTTCCTAGGCCTCCTCCATCAAAGAAAATGAAGCTGTTTGGATTTAAAGAAGACCCATTTGTCTTCATTCCTGAAGATGATCCTTTGTTCCCACCTATTGAGTAAGGAGCCTGACATTTGAATCCTGCTTTAGAAAGTTCCTTGTAGCAAAGCAAATACATCACCAGGCACATACAACTGGTGTTTTGTAGTTAGATCCTCCCTCCTGATTGTGCCTGAGAGCTGGGCAGTACTGGAGAAGTGTGCACAGGGAACACAGAAAAGCATACATTGTAAAAACGTTAGTGTTTGGCCCAGTGAGGGAGTCTGGGCTCCAGCTGGTAAGCGCTGCACTTGGAACAGCCCCTGGCCTGGCTGTCCTCCAGGCACATCCTTGTGCTGTGAGACGAGGGATACAGTCTGGAGGTTAGGTTCTCTTGGGTGCAGTGAGGTTCGTAGACGGTCGGCCATGGCTGTCCGTGTAAGCAGCTCGCTCCGCTGTGTTGACAGGAAGTTTTATGCCTTGGACCCTTCGTTCCCGAGGATGAATTTGTTAACTCGAACTACAGAAGGAAAGAAGCGGCAGCTTTACATGGTCTCCAAGGAGCTGCGGAACGTGCTGCTGAACAACAGTGAGAAGATGAAGGTGGGCTGGCGGAGCGCGCGGGGCTTTGCGTACTCACACTGCTTTCGCTCAGGAAGAGTAGGTTCCAGCACCCACATTTTGTTTTCTCCCCAGACAGTTGTCCTTTGGTTTTCCAGTCTCGTTGCTGTGCTTCCTACAAGGCAAACGAACTGCCTTATTCAGTCTGCTGGACTGTCAAGGCAGTGACATGAAGAGACATATCTTGATGCATACCAAGATGTGTGCGACTTATTGTGCTTAATTGTTGAACTTTAAGTGTTGTCTTGAGCAGTGGACATAGAAGTGGTTGCAACTATGAGTTGATTCTTGGAACCAGTTCCAGAAAGGGCTGCTTCTCTTCCCACCCCTTTGCAAAGCTGCTCTCAGGAGCCCTTACCCCACAGGGGAAGGGGCTGTAGTAAACAATTGTCCTTAGTTCCTGTTTCTTCTCATTTTTAAATTACAGGTCATTAACACTGGAATAAAAGTCTGGTGTCGAAATAACAGCGGTGAAGAGTTTGACTGTGCATTCCGTTTGGCACAGGAGGTAATTTGGAAGTGGAAGGTCCTAGCCATGGTGCTGTGAGACAGCCAAGAGGCATGCCGCTAGACTTCAGTACTTGAAGGCTTGCTAGAGCTCACCGGGCCACCTAAGCCGTCTTTGAGTTCTTCCAGGGCCTTTACCCAGAGGAAGAACTTAGTCAAGCCCTGAACCCCACAGGAAAGCCCTTCAGTAAACCTAAGCATGGGATCCCAGTGCCCTTTCTCTACTCTTACAGGGGGTATATACATTGTATCCATTTATTAATTCCAGTACCCATGGTCTCACAGTGCCCTTTCTCTACTCTTACAGGGGATATATACATTGTATCCATTTATTAATTCAAGAATCATCACTGTGTCAATGGAAGATGTGAAGACACTGCTGACCCAGGAGAACCCATTCTTCAGAAAACTCAGCAGTGAGGCCTACAGTCAAGTCAAGGACTTGGGTGAGTACAGGGATCGAGAGGCTGGCTAGTGTTACCTTCCTGAGGCCTGTAACAGACGTTTCTACTTCTAGGGCACCTTTCCCAGTCACATGTAGTAGTGCAGGCAGGCCTCTGTATGGCTCCTCGTCCTCAAATTCAACCAGTCATGGATTGAAAATATTTGAAAGGAAAACAAGCCGTGTCTGGCTGGGATGTGCTCAGCTGACAGGGGTCTTCCGTTATCCAGCTCAGAGCCCCATAAACTGCATAACTGAGCCTGCTGTTGTCCCAGCACTTAGGACGTGAGTCAGGGAGACCAGGCTGCACAGCGGGTTGTGAGTAAGAGCTGTGGTAGGACGTTGGCTCCGCAGGGAATTTTGTCACCCACAGATAACGCTGCTGAGGCAGTAGTGGGCGTTGTGCAGACCCTGCCATTTCATGTGAAAGGCTTGATCCTTTTTTGAGGGTTCTTTGTTTTCCTTTGTCCCTGTGGAACTCGTCCTGCTACTAGGCAGCACCCCGAGATTATAGAGTGCTTGGCCTGGGTTCTGAGCACCTTGCAGGATTATTGCCTGGGGTCTGGGTCATGAGTCCCACCTCTTGACTCCTCTACCAATCTTTCAGGCCTCTGGAGTTCAGGTTCCCCGTTTTAGTTCCATGAGAACCGCAGTCTTGGTTGCACTGTCCCCTTAACATCTCCTAACCGTCCGCGTTAGATACTAGGTCACAGTGGTGACGTCTTCACCAGGTCCCTTTCCTTTGTTTGCATTCTTGTGGCAAGCATGTGTTGGTGTGTACAGACAGCTCACTCTGCAGCTGCATGGTCCTGGGTTTGTATGACCTTGTCTCGCCCTGTGTGAGCCATAGGCAGCGGAATTCTGTAAGCTCTTACCTCCTACTCCTCCTCAGCAGAATCACAGTTCAAAGGGGAGATTATTTAAGGCAAAGCAGGAACTTTATATTTCTTTTTTTGTAATCTTCCATGAATGTATATTTTCTGTCTTTGGTTGGTGGGTGGACATGCCTGTGCCAGGCTGTGCAGGGAGAGGTTAGAAGACAACCTGTCGGAACAGCTTCCTTCCTCACCCTGTGGGTCTGGGGGCAGACTCCAGTCTTCAGGCTTAGACAGCGAGCTCTTTCTCTAGCTGAGCCGTCTCGCTGGCCCTCGTCCTTCTCTGGAGTGATGAGAGATGGGACATGGTAACTGTTAATTTGGGCTTGGTCTAGGAGTTGGAGCTTTATTATATTTAACCTTGAGTGTTGAGAATTGGCCAGTAGTTAGCTCTCAGTCACAACACTCAGCTTTAGTCGTGGCCAGGAGTGAAAACCTTGGCACATGTGTCTGTTTTCTCTTTCCTACAGCAAAGGGAAGTGTTGTGCTGAAGTACGAGCCGGATTCTGCGTAAGTGTGTGTGCCTCACTATTGGATAAGTAGCCGGACATGGTAGCTCATGGTGTAACCCAGCACTTGAAAGCTCGGGCAGGAGGGTACCAGACTACAGCATTTTTGGGGCCTTACCTTTGGGGAGTCCAGGCAGCAAAGTAGCAGAGGTAGTAAGATGACAGCTACTGGGCGGCAGGAATTCGGGCAGTGGCTACAGCTTTGTTTTTCTGAAAGGTTGCATGTCAGTATCATTAAATGCAGCTAACAGGATGTTTAATGCTTACTTGTAGCCTTCTTTGTTGACAGGAATCCGGATGCCCTTCAATGCCCCATTGTGCTGTGTGGGTGGCGGGGAAAGGCTTCTATTCGAACTTTTGTGCCTAAGAATGAGCGGCTTCATTATCTCAGGATGATGGGCCTGGAGGTGTTGGGAGAAAAGAAGAAAGATGGGGTCATTCTTAACAATGAGAGTGTAGACAGCCCAGAGCAGCCCGAAAACGATGAGGGTGCGGAGCAGACAGCACAAGAGGCCTGCATCTCAGACAGCATCACTGGCTGTGACCCAGCTGCAGCTGAACCATCCCGGTGAAGACATCTCCACACGCTGAACTGGCTGTTCTAGATGAAATCCAGAACATCCTTAGCTGCGAAGTATATTGATAGGGCCTGTACGTGGGTGGGTAGCAGCAGTCTGGGGGAGCTGTATTTTCTAGCATTTAGGAGTCGCTTCAGCAGATTGGATCCATGTTTCTGCTACTAAAGGCTAGTGCAAAACAGCCTTTGCAGAAGTTCAGGTCTCTTGTTGGGCCAATGTTGGCCTAGTCTTTTTAAAATTATTTATAGTAAAACCTACAACTCTTTGGGAAACAGCTCTTTGCTTTAATAATGTTTGGACTGCACATTGGTGTGCTGTGCGGTGATGCTGACACCTGAAGCCTCAGGTGACTTCTGTGCCTTTGTATTGAAGGGTGAAGTAAGCGATCCCAGAGTGTATGAAGACAGTGAATCATGGCAGCAGCTTTGGGGACAGTTCTGTGCTTACCCAGCAGGTGCTTTAAGTGGGGTTGCAATTACTTGGGTCATGAAATATGAGCTATTATGATAATAAAGAGCTATTATAATAAAAAAAAACAACCATGTGACTTTGATTTGCTCTTAGTTGGCTAATTGAGGAGGGAAACCTTGCCTCTGGTGTAGGCAGGAAGCAGGGCTACTTCGGAGTTGTCGGCCCCTGTGTCCTGAGCAGCTTCCCCTTCAGTGAGATACTACAGGCTGGACTGGGGACTGCCAGATCCTTGACCTGGTTTTGGCACAGAACCAACCTCATGCTGGTTGAGCCATTGCCGGTTTCAGCATTTAAGAATGGCGAGGTAGAGCAGGGTGGAACTGTACTATGTCCCCTCCCTGGCAGTGCTTCGTCTGTGACTTCCCGGAGCAGCCTTCCCTGCCAGTCCTTGGTATTGGACAGCCTCATGCTCAGAAGTGACTGCTAACCCCTTACTGCACACAAATGCAGGGCAGACATGGCACCTGCTTATGTGTCTGTCTCTTCAGCCTTCTTGACACTGCCCTGTCAGCAGCATTTGCCTCTTGTGCAGATTGTCCAGGCAGTGTTCTTTCCTGTATATGTAATGTACTTGGTCTGTACTGTTGGACAGAGGTTATAGTTTTCGGCCTTGCCTGCTGAACTGTCTCTGAGTCAAACAACACCTCTGGGAGTTCAGCTGTACCTGCTCACAGAAGGTCATCCCAGCTGGGCTTGTTGGCTGTTGACATCCTCTGGGAAGGGTCACAGGACCATCTCCTGAAGTCCAGCTACACCATACTACATGTTGTGACTCCACCTTGGAGAGGGGCTAGAAAATACAGGGAAAGCCATCTGCTGGTCGAAGAGGACACTGCCCTTTAGGGAGAGGGGTGCCCATGGCACTGTTAACAGCCCTCCCTCACCTGCTCTATAAGTAAGCCCCGTAAACTCGCTGGTTCCCCAGAATGAACCTTGGTAGGATCATGGAGTTTTGGTGAAGCTTGTTGGACTCTTAGGAGGGTCGACTTCGCTTGTATTCCTCGCCCCGCAGGAGGAATTTTAGCAACAGTGGGGCTCCTTGAGTCCTAGTTTTGAGTATGACCTTGAGAAGACCACTAAGCCGAAACCATTGGAAAAACCTGACTGCCAAATGGCACAGAGATTCTCAACCAGTGCTGCCCAGGCTGCCTCCTGCGGTGTGGGTTAGTTGGTCTGTGAAATGTTTAGACAGGTGGTGCAGCCGAGGCTCCTGTCCCTGTTGGTTTTCTGTCCCCTCGTGTGGTCTCAGCTTTGCTCATCCAAGTTCCCTGCCTGCTATGCTTCCCCACTCAGATGTGGTTTTAAAGGGAGGTCTTTTGAGACTGTTCTTTTTTGAGTCTTTTCCTATCCCTCCAGCCAGCTCCCAAATGACACAAAGCCTGGTTATTACTTACTTGTTACTAATTACAAAAGCTCGGCCTTAGCTCTTAGATTTGTCCCACTAGCTCTTATAACTTTAAATTAACCCATTTATTTGTAATCTACATTCTGTCGTGTGGTTACCTCTGATCTGTACCGTATGTCTGACTTTAACTTTAGAGCCCTGCTGGTGTCGCCTGTGTGCCTAGATTCATCTTTTTCTCTGCCTTGTAGCGCCTGCACTACGGGACTGGACATGAGCCAGGAACTAGGCTGGGGATTTAAAAACACATACACACAGAGACATGGAGACCTGGGTCATCCTTGAAACAAGAATGCCAACTTTATTGTGCTCCAGGGAAGCTTATATAGGCATCCTTAACTGATAGCCATGTCCCAGCTCTCGGGATTTTCAGCTGTAAAACCCACCAGAAATCACTTCCCTGCCATTAGGAACTCATTTGGGCCTTGTGCTCAGAGCAGCTGCAGGCACAGAAAAACCTGTTGTTTTGCTCAGTTCACTCCCGCAGGCCAAGGGTCTGAGGCAGGCAAAGAAAGTCAAGGGGCCAGGGGTCTGCAGCCCCCAACACTGCCTGGCAGTCCCGCCTATACCTCCGGCCTCTTGGCTGTTGAGCTTTTTATTACACCAACCACAGTGATACATTTTCACACAGTGCACAAATATCCCATAACACAGTTTGGTTTTGTCATGTAATTCAGGCGTCCTGAACTTGAGAACCTCCTGCTTCAGCTTCCCAAGTACTGGCTTATGCCCATCAATGGGTGCCATCATTGAGAGAGCCTCTTGGAAGAAACTGCTCAAACCCTTCTACCGAGTACAGGCCAGGTGACAATCCTGGGTGCCACACAGGTGTGGAGCGGCTCGGGCTCATGCGTTTCCCTTGTGTCTCTGCGTATTTAAAGGGGCTCCTGTGAATGCTTTAGCGAAGAATACCTTCTTAATTTCAGCAAGATAAGGGGCGTGATTCCCAAAAAGTGGATTATGGGAGTAAAGATGTCTTCCTGTAGGGTCTCCTGGCCTTGCACAGAGCAGTTGTGTATTTATATGTTTCCTAAGTGGTCGTTGAAGCAGCCTCATGGAGCATATGTAAAGGAGCAATTGTCTCTGTGGGTAGAATCAAAGAAAGACTCTGAACTAAACACTGATTTCTGGGGCTGGAGGGATGACTCAGGAGATCAGAGCACTTGCTGCTCTTGCAAAGGACCTCAGCTCAGTTCCCAGTACTCATGTTGGATGGCTCAAAACTGCCTGTACCTAGCTCCAAGTCATGTACCCACCTTCTGGCTTCTGCATGTACTTGCTCACACATACACATGCACATAAATAAAAATAAAAGCAAAATGTAGGGAAAACACCAGAACCTTTGTTTTCATTGAACTTTGGAAATTATGGACTATAGAGGATGAGTATAAATAATGTTACCTCTGACAATGTGTCAGAGCAGCAGGGGTGTTAAACACGTGCCTGCAAAGGCATTGCACACATTGTGTGTGACAGCAGAAGGTCCTGTGTCGGGGCGTGACCTGAGCAGGGAAGTGAGCAGCTGCCATTTGTACAGACGTGACCACGTGTTGTGAGCATGTGTCTTGAGTTCATAACACTGGAAGAGTACAGAAACTGACAATACTGGCTGGACTCAGGAGGGAGCTACACTGAGCCATGGAGATTTAAGGTGAATAAGAGCACAGGAGAAGCCATATGTATGAGAGTCCAGGGTGGGATGCTCGCTGCCTTCCATCAGCCTTGGAACATCTGCATTGACTGCACGCTGGTGGGTGAGCGCCCTCAGCACTCGAAGTAAACGGGGCATTGCCCAACTTGTCAGCCCTCTTGGTGGAAGGCTTTGCCACATGAGGTCTGTGGCTTGTGCTGACTCTGTGGCCATCACCACGCCTTGGCGGTGACTTTCCACTTGAGAATCCGTGCCCTTGTGGATTATCATGTCTCGCTTGGGGAGGTCCCACACATGGTGACTTGTCTGTAGTTTCTGGAATGATGGCGACTAAGCTGTAGAAGGCTGGCTGCCACCTTCCTGATTATACTGCCACTCTGTCGGGCCCCCAAGGACGCCCTGGATCCAACATGGCCATTCTCACAGTTTTTCTCTGTTACAGTGGAAAACGTAGGAATGCATCAGTGAGGTCTAGTGAGGGTATTATTGTGATCAGGAAAGAGTTTATTTCAGTTTACAGCCCAGGAAACAACAGTCCATCAATGAGGGGAGTCAGGATGGGAACTCAAATAGGAGAGGAACCTAGAGGCAGGAGTTAATGTAGAGACCATGGAGGGGTGCTGCTTGCTTGGTGTGGGACCATGGTCTGTATTTTGTCAATTATATTTTAAATAAATGCTGATTGGCCAGTAGCCAGGCAGGAAGTATAGGCGGGACAACCAGACAGGAAGGAGAGGTGAGTCAATGAGAACAGGAGAATTCTGGGAAGGAGGAAGCCCATTCCTCCGCAGTCCTTGCCCAGACACAAGAAGGAAGATATGACTGCCTCACTGAAAAAGGTACGAGCCATGTGGCTAACATAGATCAGAATAATGGGTTAAGTTATAAGAGTTAATAAGAAGCCTGAGCTAATGGGCCAATCAGTTTATAACTAATGTAGACCTCTGTGTGACTTCTTTGGGTCTTAATGACTGTTGGAACTAGGCAGGACAGAAAACCTCAGTCAACAAATGGTGCTCAACGTGTGGACTACTGCATCCACATAAAGCCTGACAGAGCATGGGAAGTTATTCCAGACCAAAAAAGAATAGAGTTAAGCACAGCTTAATGATAGCAGCATTTTCTCAGGTGGGTCCTGTTTGCTAGAGGCAAATGCATCTCATCTAAGAGAGGCTTCCTGACTCAACTTTAGCTGTAAAACCTTGCAGCTCTTTTAAGAGGTCCTGCCATGAAACACTTGAATGGTACTGATGAAGGCTGATCACATGCTTTCTGGTGGTGACAGGGACCTTGAAACGCCACAGAGTTGTGGCAATAAACATGGCTCTGGCTGGTACCTCTGCCATGAGGCTGGAATCTCAGAAAGGTAAGAAATGGGCTGGATCCTGCTGTGGGAGTACCTTCCGCTCCTTCAGCCAATAGTCGCTGAAGTACGAGCCCACCAGCCCACTGGGGCGTGGTATATTTCTCTTTAAAAAAGAGGGGCAAGCCTCGGCTCACTCTCTTGATTCCGGAGCTTGGTTCTGGCTCCTGCTCCAGCGACTATGCTCCTTTCCTGATGGTTTGTGTTATGTAACTTTTACCGCCCCCCCAAAATAAATACCCCTTTAAAACCTAACTGGTGTGAGACTGTTTCCTGCATTAGGATCCAGCTGTCAAAGTCACGGCTTTAATCCTACTCAAATTAAAGACTCATGGTCAGAAGAAGAGAGAGATATGCAGTAAAGAGAGATTCAAAGACAAAGAAAATCTCTAACTGATTTACAGTGTGTTAAAAATATATGCAGGCGTGGGGCTGGAGAGATGACTCAGTGGTTAAGATCATTGCCTGTTAAGAGCATTGCCTGCTCTTCCAGAGGTCCTGAGTTCAATTCCCGGCAACCACATGGTGGCTCACAACCATCTGTAATGAGGTCTGGTGCCCTCTTCTGGCCTGCAGACATACACACAGACAGAATATCGTATACATAATAAATAAATAAATATTTTAAAAATATATGCAGGCTTGGGAGAGTAAAGAAAA